TGGGGATTTTTACTGCAATTTCAGGGATTGTAATAATTGGCTCTGGGTACCATCTACTCACAAAGTTTGGCAGGTTGTGTATACCAAAAGCTTTGCTCACATTACTAACGATGACCCTTTTATTGTTTGTTTGCCTCCAAGTTCACATTTATGATTATTGTACATTGTGACCCTTTCCCTGGATGCATATAAATTAAGCAGAAGGATCTCCCACACGGATGTTTTGGGGGCTTTATAGGCTCTGCAGTAAACACTCTGGCCTAACTAGCAGTATTACGTACACAGATAGTGCTCTTCATGGTAGGAGAATGGCTGTCAGCGTCACAGCTGTTGGTTTGTCATCAGTCTACTGATTGACATGTCATAGGTCTGCATACAGGTGCTGGCCTATAGGCCGCCCTTAGAATCCTAATATAATACACATCATCGCGCTGAAATACAGCATTGTTCTTCTAACCTTTTCCCTGGTAAAGGTCAAGGAATTTGTTCTGGAGCTCACAGCCTTCTTATATGTATTAATTAATCATTTTACTCAGCGTCTTATCTAATATAGATGTGAACCATAAGGGGTGTGTTTATAAACAATTCACTGGGCTATTCGGCCTGCCCATCTCTGATGCAAAAACAAAGGTTCTTATTATATTTTCTCCTCAGGTGGAATTTAATGTAACGTAATACTGCATTATGGCCACTAGATGGTGCCAAGGAGCATGATGAAGAAATACTTAAAGGAGAACTATGAGGTGAGTGATTTCCACTCATCCTCATAGTTAGAGCCGACCTGTGACATGGAAACTCTCACAGGTGGGCTCTGTTGATCGGGAAGTGAGCAAACACATACTGTTGCTTGCTCACTTCCCGATCGTCTCCCTGCAGAGAGCGGTGCCTGTCAGGCTATTATCCGGTCAGGTGTGCGATGGTTTCTTTTTGATTATTGCAATGCTTTACCGACTCCGTTGCAAACAGATAATACATGCACATGTATTTATTTTTATAAAGAAGTGCGCATTTATAATTTTTTTCTAAAAGGTGGACTGTCAGTCACCGCTCCACGCAGGGATTCCCCCCTCCCGTCTCCGATCCTCCAGCGCTAACTGGAGGAACGGACGGGGAGGGGGCGGGCACAGCTGGCTCTGCCTCTAGATAGGCAGAGCCCGCTGTCAATTGGTCAGCTTGGTGGATCTCCACAGTATTGCCGGGATCCATCCCAGCTGTGGCGCTCTCAGTATATAGAGGGCAATAGCTCGCTATATACTGAGCTTTGGGCCACGGGGGGACGTTAGCATATGTTACCCCATAGTTCTATTTTTATTCTTATGCCCCTTAGCTCCATCTAGTGGCCATAATAAGGGAGGGTAGGGAATAGTCTGGTCACATGTCACTTGCTGCAGAGATAGGAAGTACTGGGGCAGGGCAGGGGATAGTTGGGTCACATGACATTTGCTGCAGTGGTGGGAAGTACTGAGGCAGAGTGACACTAGCTGCAGAGGTAGGAGGGTCTTGGGGCATGGTGCGGGATAGTCATGTCACATGACACTTGCTGCAGAAGTAGGAGGGCCTAAGACAAATTGGGGATAGTCAGGTCACATGTCACTTGCTGCAGAGGTAGGAGGGTCTGAGGCAGGGTGGGGGGATAGTCAGGTCACATGCTTCATACCGTAGGTAAGAGTGCCTGAGGCAGGGTGAGGGTTGGAGGTTGGGGAGGGGGTTAAGTAGGTCACATGGCACTTGCTACTGCAGAGGTAGGAGGGTCACCGTCTGAAGTAGTTTGGGGGCTAGTCAGATCACATGACACTTGCTGCAGACGTGGGAGGCCTGAGACAAATTGCAGGATAGTTAGGTCACATGACACTTTCTGAAGAGGTGGGAGGCCCTGAGGCAGGTTGGGAGAGAGTCAGGTCACATGACACTTGCCGGACAGGGATGTTGTGGGATACTTAGGTCACATGACAATTGCTGCAGAGGTGGGAGGGCCTGAGAACTGGGGCGGGACCTTCCAGAAGGAGACACACCTGAGGAGAATCCTGTCACCCAGACAGGGGCAGAGCGCAGAGACATTTCCTGTCAGGCGGACATTTTATGTGGAATAGGTGACGTGTCTGTACAGGGGACATGCTCAGCAACAAGGAGTACAGCTGGTTATTATGTGCCCCACCCGATGAGGAATATCAGTACCTTGGGGGAGCAGGCTGGGCCTTGTGGTTCCTGTTGCAGCGAGAGGGCCGGGTAACCCCACTATGAAGTGATGGGATATTTTGTTTTTCCTAGGCCTGTTTACAAAGTGTATACGTTCTCTGTAAGGCACAGGGGATTTATATTAATGTTGGAATTTTTTTATCCTTCAGTTTTATAATATAACCAACTTTGCAAGAAAATAAAGAAGAGGAAGGGCCTGAGTCCGCACACTTTTGTCCCTTCAGCAGATTTTGCATTCCCATACAAGTCTACGGGATTGCAAAACCTGCTTGCAGCAGGTCAGAAGCAGGTCAAATGCTCCAGTCAATGAATTCTGAGTGATCTCAAGAAAGACTCAAACTGATGTAATCAACACAAACCCAAAGCCTGGAGACATGCCCCCCCTCCCCCTTTCTCTAACCAACATTTTTTTTTTTTAATTAAGGAAGAATTGGACCAGTTGTATAGTTTTTATTATTTTCTGTGTCACCGCTATGCAGCTTTTCTCTCACTTCCTGTTGAGACAGGAAGCGATGGGAAATCTCTACAGTTTAAACTGCAACAAGATCCTTTTTCCAGTGAAAAGGGGAAGTAATAGCGGCATTGTCATGGTTATAGTGCTGGCAGTGTCCCCACTGGGGTGATAGTACTCACTTCCTGTCAGGACAGGAAGTGATAGTGATAGTCCCTCGCTTCCTGTCAGGACAGGAAGTGAGGTGAAATCTCTACAGTGGGCTCAGACTGCAATAAAACACCTTTTTTGGTAAAATGGGGAAAGACTAGAATGAACAGAAAAAGAAGTGAGGGGACATTTCCAACATGGATACAGTCAGTAATAAAGTGCAATACCTGTTATGACCCTATTGCAGAGATTCTCCCTCACTTCCTGCCTGAGCTCCCAGGTGTCCCTTGTTAGCAGGAAACAGTCCCACTAATGGATTGGCTGGGATAGTCCCGTATCTCCTGTCTCTGTTCCATTGATGCTGTGTCCTGGGTTGTGTCCCGGGATCACAGCATCACCCTTATTGAAAATGGTATTAACTCAATGGGTGGTTCCCGCATAATTAGGGGCGGGGCCACCCAGAAATTGAGTATGTGGAAGCATTTTGTTTACATTCGTTTCTACGGCTCACTTCTTTGGAGCTAGCTGTGGAAGTCCATGAGCTCTTCCTTTCAGATCCCGGGGGTTAGCGCTGGGTCCCGGCTGTCCTGGGGGCCCCACTTAGACCGGACGCCTTTTTTAAACAGCGCTGGGATGGGTAGTCCAGTGCCATTTTAAAGCACCAGGTGTGACTAGAGTGCATTTTCCAATGTATTTGGTGAGCAGGAGCCCTGATTTAGTTTCTAGCAGCAAACCTTCAGCAAGAATGTGAAATACTGATGGCCTTTGGAAAAAACACCCAGTGGCGTCACAAGGGGGGTGCTGGGGGTGCAGCCTACACCATGTGACACCATTAGGGTTGCCACCTTGTCTTCAAGCGAAACCTGAACAGTCTAGCGGCACGCAGACATTTTTCTAGGAGAATGAGTAGCGGCTTATTCATATGTAAATAGCTCCGCCCATTCATATGTAAATATCACAGTTGAGACTATTTTCAGTGGGGGGGCCAGTGGCCCTAATCTTAATGTTAGTTGCCCCTGTCTGCCTGACATCTTATGTCCGAGTTTCTGCTGCCATGAAACCCAGACACAGTATTCAAAACCCGGACTGTCCGGGTGAATGCTGGACAGGTGTCAACCCTAGACACCATCAGAGAGGGTGACGCCAATAAGAGTGACAGTCATTTTGGTGTCACCCCCTCTTAAAAGTCGGGCACTCTGTCCAAAAGCCCAACAGCGGCACGAGGGAGAGCGGGGGACCCGGCGACATACCTGATCCTGCCAGGACAATAGACGCCATAACACATGCATGGCACCCTCACTGGGTGACACCGCCACTGAAAACACCTACAAATCTCTTCCAATATAGGGATGGGAGTTGGAATTCGATGCTACCATGGCTACGAGGCATATCCTACAAGTTTGATGTTCGCAGTCCCAGCAAATTTATGTTAAGAACTTTTTTAACCCATAATGCACTGCATGGCCAGCATGCTTGCAAGGGCCAGTAAGGGGGCTTCTGGATAATAAGCCACTATAAAAGGAAAGGGGGGTAAAAGAGCGGCCATAGCGTCACTTCATTGGAAGCTGCTGTAGGGAAAGTATAAGGAAAGCTGACAAGGTTGTTTAGGAAACTCCAATTCTGATTGTTAGCTCATTGGACAATCAACCTCTTTGCTGCGTGTGCCTCCAAACGGGACGGGTGCTGCGTGTAATTGCGTGCAGCCACTGCACGCGGCTGCAGGTGACGCGGCTGCACATGACGACACACCAACTTGAACCTGCACATCTGTGCAGGCCCAGATGCCCGCCACTTGGACGCTGACAGCGTGTCTCCAAATGCGGGCACTTAGATCTGCATGGATGTGCAGGTTCAGGTCGGCGTATAGCCCACCTGCAGCCACATCCTCCCATAGGGATGTATAGGCAGCTGCTCGCAGTTACACGCAGTACCTATCCCTTCAAGGAGCAGATTTCTGCATGGGCGTGCATGCTGTACAGATGTGCATACCCATGTGGAATCGAGCACGGGCACTTTAGCTGATCCCTATTCATGACATTTTATTGTGACATATTACCAGGAAAATATGCCATGCAGACGTGTAACATGTGAAAATGTTATAACATTTGACATAATGACCAGAAGCAAATGCACCACACAGGTTCCTTTGAATGTTTCGTGAATGTATACTTTTTGTAACCTCTCTATCAGATCGTGTTGGAGGATGGCGTCGTGCACCTTCCGGCAAGCTTTTGTCAACATTTCCGACCTGCACCCTAATCTCTCTCGCCCAGTAAGTATCACTGACTTTGTTATCGCCCTCCGGTCCCGTCCGCTTCAGCCCGTACCACAAACGACCTCATTGTCACATTGTCACCGTGCTTCCCAGTGTTTCTGTAACCACAATACTCTGATTGTTGATGTTCTTTATTTACACGGCGGGGGGAATGAAAACTGATGCCACGGGTGCTGTCCAGGGATGTGTCATGGTACCCGGCCCAACACTTTCGCGGTAGCCAAGCCTTTGTTACAGCGTATGAGAGGCCCTTTTGTATCTGCTTGATTGCACGCTGAATAGATAATTGCTGGGACTCAGCAGAGTAAAAAATCATAACGTAGCGAAGGACGTCTGGTATTTTCCTCTCTTGACGGCAACATTTGAGCTGCTCTAGCTGTCCCGAGCATGGTTAAAGGACGTGGAAAAGGCCAAACCCTACTGTGTCTGTCTGCTTCAAAATGGCATATCATAAACAAGGCCTCTCTCGGGGTTTATTTACCCCCCAGCATTGTTTAGACATTGTTGTTGTCAATGTTTTTGGGCCAGATTTTATTCTAGTGATATGCCAGTTTTTTGTAAACCGGATTTAGAGCCCTTTCACGTGGACAGCTTGGTGCGCACGTTTCACGTTTCCAGTAAGTAGATTGATATCATCTGCTGCATCAGATATGACTGAGACATGAAGTGACCCTGTCACTGCAAGGTCACTTATACACAATGCACAGACTGAAAAAGAACAAGCTTGATATTTACCTTTCTGTGTGTTGAAATGCTGATGGTTTGCTGCTCCCTGGCCACAGGAGATATTCGACCCTTTGGGTATATGTATGTATGTATGATGTATGAGCCAGTGAGCAGCATGAGGCAAGTATTCTCCCGATCCAGAAATGGGGGATACATGCAGCGGCTAGGGAGCAGCAAAGCGGTAGTGTTTCAACATACAAGCTGCCGGAAGGGTAAAGCTGGCCATACACCTATAGATTATCTGCAGATTTTCTATGGTCAGATGGAAAAAGGGGAACAGGTTCCTCCATCTCCGCTAAACTGTGTGGATGGAGGAATCTCTCACTGGGCCAAGCTTCACTATGTTGCTAGTCGCCCTGCTGGCTGTAAAAACACCTGAACAATGGCGTCACAAGTGGGGTGCGTGGGGGATCGGCCCGCACCCGAGTGACACCAAAATGACTGACAGTTTCACCCCCTGTAAAAAGTCGGGCACTCGGTCATGGACCATGGACCGAGAGCCTGACAGTGTCAAGAGAGAGGAGGGGACACGGCGGCGTACCTCATCCCTCCAGGTGAACGTCCCCTCCTCTCTCTGGCGGCATCCATCACTAAGATGGCCGCCGGCAGGCGTCAATTAGATGACCGCGCGTGTGTGTGGTGATGTCACGCGCATGTGCGATGATGTCACTGCCGGGTGTCACCAGGTCTCTGCTCCGGGTGACACCCATCCTCGGGACGCCCCTGAACCCGCCCCCATTACTCTATCCAAAACTAAAGAAAAAGTTTTGTCTTCAGTTCTACTTGAATTACTTTATCAAACACAAAAGAAACAATTTCAGCTGAAGTTGCCCTTTAGCAGCCCCAGTTCACCTGCCTTTTACAATAACCCTATTTTTCTATTTTTTTGACTTGGTAAATGGGTGAGACATGCAGATGGCATACAAAATCCACCCCGCTGTGCATCATGCCGCCATTCCTCTCTCGATTGTATTACATGCAGTCATATATCATCAAATCAACATTTAACAACCGCGGCACGACAGACAAGAACTTCAGATATATGTTTCCTAATGGAACTTAATAATATAATGGCACTAAATACATTCCTAGCAACGCTGCGGCTTTTCACAAGGGAATTTTATGTTATGGAATAATTCGGCATGTCATGTGAAAACTTTACATGCAAGTACAAATTACAAGACGGTTACAGGAAATTCAGACACTAAAGGAAGCCATCACCAATGAGGTTTAGTCAGTTTGTCCAATTTAATGATTAAGCAAAATGAGAAGAAATAAAAAAAATAAAAGAAGGTAAGTCTAGTATTACATTCGGCTAACGTCCACTTTTGTGCATTGCGGTATATAATGGCTTCCATAAAACCCTTACAGGGCATTGAATGGATTTACTGGGTGCCGAGGAGCAAACCTCGCTGCCTAATTGCCGTTCAGAAAAAAAAAAAACGTGTACTCTAACTAGCGGCTTTTAAGACCATGAAATCTAATTTTCTAACTACATCTGTGTTTTATTTGTGTACAACATTCCATTTTTTATTTTTCAGAGCATAATGGGCATTGTAATTGGGAAAACAGATGTCAAAGGATTTCCAGACCGAAAAAGTTAAGCCTCCTTTATTATTTCTCGAGCTCTCGGAGACCTGCGTGTCAGTCAGAATTTTCTTTCCTGTTGCTTTTTCTTTATGCCGGAGGAATTAAAGTGGCACACATGATTAATTTTAATTCATGTGAACAAATTACTTGATTCTTTGGAGAAAATCTGTAATATTTACCTCCCCTGCTTCTGCGGTGCCATTATTGCTGACATAAGTTGCTGTAGCATTATCCTAGTTTGTAGAGAAGTGTTTGTGTTTGCTTGTGAGAATTGTTTTCATGAAAAAAGAAAAATGTTGTGTGCCCCCTAGAATGACAGATGACGGGTAATACACAATAGTGCATTCTTAAACTTAAAGTGTCACTAAACGCAGGAGTTAAATCTTCAAAATTCATTCAAGTACCTTAATTATTAACAACAATGCATCTTATTTGTGAATCACTCGGCTGTAGATCCTCAAATAATCTCTGGATTGGTGCTGACTCTGTCCTTCCTTCTGGAGGGTGGCTACTTGTGTTCCCCATGTATCCCTGTGTGTGTTGTAAAGTAGTCACCGCTATAAGCTCGCTCCTGTGATGGACTACAATCTCAATATTAATTCGTAAACTACAGTTGAGATTGTAGTCTATCACAGTTGCGTGCTTGGAGCGGTGACTACTTTACAACACACACAGAGACCATGGGGAACAAAAGTAGCCCCCCTCCAAAAGGAAGGACAGTGTCAGCACCAATCCAGAGATGATTTGAGGATCTACCTGGTGTGGTCAGAAAAAAAAGTGCACGCAGCATTTTTTCAGACTGCCTCTGACCGGAACGCAGGCACAGATGTGCCACTTCATGGGCCGATGGGCCGTTCACACTGCAGCCGGAGGGCATGGCTGCGGTGCCATTGACTTCTATGCGCCGCCACGCCCCCTCGTGCCCCAAAACAAAGTGAGCCAGCCAGAATGCGAGCCAGTGCGTTCCAGCAGCGAATCAGGCCGGAACACACTGGCGCTGGTGTGAACTAGTCCTACAAACACTTACCTTGGCCCTCACTTCCTGTAGGTGCCATTGACATCCGCATGCCTCGCGGAAAAGGTAGGTTCTGGGAATCCATCAAGAATGCTCTTCAGCACGGGAGAAGCTATAAACTGAACCTGTTGCTTTGCCCTGCATGAAAAAAATCACAGGTTCTGCTTCGAGAAACCTCCTGCCCCCAAGTGTTCCCAATCTTTGTCACCCCAACTTCTAGTCTTTCACTAATATTACTTTGACAAAATAACTCACCGAAATATCACCTGAGGCAGAAGACAACTCAGTTTTTTTTTGTATTTTGCTTAGATTTTGGATCTGAAAGGTACACATTCAGATTCACCATCAGAGATTCTCCAGCGGCCTTCATCAACGCCTCGTCTTGGGGTAGAGAGGAGTATATTAAATCTCTTTCTGAAAGCTTCCGGGTTGGTGACTGTGGTAGGTCCGCACATGACTATTTCTTGTTCTAATGCAACGTTTTTGTTCCAAACTTGAATTAAATGTCACGATTGTCGGCTTATATTTGATTCAATCTCTAAAGAAATATCCCTAAGTAACTCCACCTGTACTGTGCTGGCAGATGTTCATTATCAGGGGGTAAACTAGATTTGTACTCTGTCTGTCCCAAGAGACTGTTAAAGGTTACGTTTACTTTTTTGACCATGTTTCATGTTACACCCATATTCAGGATGTAACATGAAACATGGTCAAACCACAACCCCCTCCTGCCACTCCCCCCTCCCCACTTACCTAAATTGTGGAGATCTTCTCCCTGCAGGCTGGTGTATGTTTGAATTTGGTGCAGCAGTGCGTGGTTCCACCCCCACACAGCCGTGCCATCCATTCACAGATAATCATATGACATCATTGCACTGGTAGTCCATTCATACTTATTCCCATCCAAGTTACTAAATGTCCCCAATAAGGTACAGACATGTTATGGGAGAAGGAGTCTGCAGGAGCCAGAGCATTGCACCAAGCATACATTGATTGCGGCTGCAATGCTTTATAATGGTCACTCATTGTTTGCCTGATGAAGGGACCGGACAGGTTCGGAAACGTCGCTATGTTGTGACACCACAGAAGTCAATAATATATTGACTGAATTGGAGCAGGAGTGCGAGTGACTTCCTCACATTTATACTGATTTGCAGAGGCATCCGTGGTCGCTTGGCACCCACCCGATATTCAAGGCTATTATCCGGCCAGGTGTGCGATGGGTTCTTTTTGATTATTGCAATGCTTTACCGACTCCGTTGCAAACAGATAATACATGCACATGTATTTATTTTTATAAAGAAGTGCGCATTTATAATTTTTTTCTAAAAGGTGGACTGTCAGTCACCGCTCCACGCAGGGATTCCCCCCTCCCGTCTCCGATCCTCCAGCGCTAACTGGAGGAACGGACGGGGAGGGAGCGGGTACAGCTGGCTCTATCTCTAGATAGGCAGAGCCCGCTGTCAATCAGCCAGCTGGGTGGGTGGACCTCGACAGTATTGTCGGGATCCGTCCCGGTTGTGGCGCTCTAAGTATAGAGCTGGCTCTAGCTCGCTATGTACTGAACTTTGGGTCACTGGAGCATGTTAGTATATGTCCTCCCATGACTCTAAAGAGAACTATAGAATAAAAAGGGTACCCCATAGTTCTCTTTTAAACCAATCTGTCCCTATACCTGTTCCTAAAGTTATTCTGAACAATACAAGCTGCTTCTATGCGTATATTTATATAATAAAGATAATTATACGTGTGTGATTCCACTCCAAGGCAATAAGCAACAAGGTAAGAAATATTTATTTAGATAATGTTTAGGTATTCTGTGTGAATGGGATCACATAAGAAACATATGGTGCGGATTTCTCAAAAGTGGAAGTACACTTAAACCCTTTTTAAACTTTGTTTAGACGTAATGTAATGAGGACATCGTTACCTTGTCTCCGTTGTGTTTTAATCATCTATATTTATCATTTCATTGTAATGCGCAGAATTCCAAACAACAGTTTTATTTCTTTTCAGTTATGATTGAGAATCCTCTTGTGCAAACAAAAGACCTGGAGAAAGAAGAAAAATTTAATCCTTCAACACCGGGGTTAGTATAAACTTACCATGATTCATTCTTGAAGAGGCTATTACGGTCTAACGGCAATCCAAGGAGCGGCAGAGATTGGAAACATGTGACGAGCGTCTCTTTACATGGCAGCTCCACTATTTAAATCACACTTTTCTCAGCTCTGTCATTTCAGGAGTAGTTCTGTCCGATTTGTCTTTTCTCTGAAAGGCAGTTAAAAATGGATCTGAGTGTTTGGTCTGCACGTTAAAGTCAAAAGGTTTTTAAGCTATTTCAGATGCTGATGAAATCGCTTACAATGGATGCTGCTCCTTTATGATTAAAAGTTTTAGTTTCCTGCAGAACCAGCTGGTCCCGTGAGCACCGGTCCTGATATGTTTTAATGTGGCTCCTTTCCCTTGCAGGGGTCTTATGGGGCCACCCTTGTGTGTGCTAGTAAACTGTACTCCACAGGCCCACATACACAGCTAGGCAAGGCACTACCCTGATCCCTGCTCCCCCTTCTCCATACACTCTGCTAGTAGATGGACTGCTGCTGCAGATTTCTACAGTATGTCCTTTGTGATCTTGTACTGGACAGGAAGTTCAAGGCAGCCAACACACTGCGTCCAAGTCCGGGCACCTGGACCACGAATGTGCAGGCTCGGGTCAGCCTGTAGCCTCATGCAGCCGCGTCCTCCCATAGTGATGTACGCAATTACACACAGTGTAACTACATGAAATTTTTGGTCAGATTTGTCCTGGCCTGGGTTTCATTACATGCTAATATTGAATCGGATTTGAATGTCTATGCCCGGATTTAGGACATGGTCAGCATGGCGTGGATTTTAGCTACATGCACTATAAAAACAAATCTACCTTTTTCTTTTAGTTGCTACAAACTGCTTATAAGTGAAGTGCATTCTGTGGTGAAGATTTGCTCCAACCGGGATACTGATGACTCCCTGCTGTCATTACTGCATGTCCCCACTCAGCACCCACATGATTACTATTCACTGGAGGACATTGTTGCTAATGGACAAAGCCTGAACCAGAAAGTTATTAACATTCTTGCAGCAGTAAGACAGGTATGTTAATGTCATAAATATTATGTGTGGCAAAGGAAAGAGATCATGGGATAGTTTTCCAGGTAATTAAAGGGATCACCTAGAATCCAGAATTCTTACGTATGCACCTAATTGAGTGAATATCCCTTTGACACATGATCCTGTTATACAACCTCCCTGCGATGCCTAAATGTGTGTAGTGTACGTGGTATTGTAATGGTATATGTGCCACTTCCTGGATCACTAGTGGGCAAAACCCTAATCAGTTTTGCTGGGTTGTTTATTACTCTGTGCATGGCCCCCCAGTGCTCATCTCTACCCCCATACAGCCCCCCCCCCATTCTCCATGTGATGATGTAATTGCTTCTCTCTGCATCATTATACTGTGGCCATGGTTGTGCCCCCCTGAGGCCCCGTTCACATTGAGCGGTTCGCAAATTGAGCGATTGTCGTGCGATTTTCATTTTGCGCGATATCGCGCAAATGCTTGCATTGAGCAAGCTTGAATCGCGGCTAAATCCGCTCCAAAAAGGGTCCTGCTGTAGCGACACACGACCCGCGACAGCAGGACCCTTTGCCCCATTGAGAAGCATTGGAGAGCGATATCGCGCGGTAAATTGCCGCGATATCGCGGGAATTACCGCGCGATAAATCGCTCAATGTGAACGGGGTCTGAGACTGCAGGTGCTCTGCACTCTCTGCAAGTATGTTGTCATTCTTCTGTGTTAGGTGACGCTAGGCATCAATTAACCTGGTAGACTGAGGACACCTAGTGGCAGCATGGGATTACTGCGGGGGACAGCACTAGAGCTGGCTCTCAAAATACCTGAACAATCTGATTGGATGCCGGCATTGTTCAGGTGTTTTGAGAGTCCTAATAGCAAGATAATGAAGCTTGGCCCACTGGGAGAAAAGTTTGGTGAACGTTCTTTTCTCATGCGGCATGACTGTGCCCCCGTGCACAAAGCCAGCTCCATGAGGACATGGTTTGAAAAGTTTGGCGTAGAGAAACTTGAGTGGCCTTCACGGAGCCCTGACCTCAATCCTATTGAACACCTTTTGGATAAATTGAAACTCCAATTGTGAGCCAGGTCTTCTCATCAAACATCCGTACCTGAACTCACAAATTATCTATTGGCTAAAAAGATACAAATTCCCAAAGCCACACTCCAAAACCTTTTGGAAAGCCTTCCTAGGAGAGTGAAGGGTTTATAGCTACAAAGGAGCTCCAACTCTGTATTAATGCCCACGGCAGGTGTGATGGTCAGGAGCCCACAAACCATTGGCAATATAGTGCATGTATTGAGGCCCCTGTCACACCATGTCTGCACGCGTTTCTGCAAACGCGGTGCGGTGTGTTTGTGATGCGTTTGTGAAAGTGCATTTTTTAGGGCCCATTCACACCACATACAGATTACCTCCAGACCAGACCAGACTGTTTCCGGACCCAAAATGCATCTCAATGTATCCCTGTATCTGTCCTCTGTTCCCACCAGCGCAGTCCGTTCCAGACCGGACCAGAAAAATACTGCTTGTCCTATTTTGTCTGGTCTGGAATGCATCAAAACGCATAAAAAATGCATGGAGTGCACTGGAACACACCTGTAAGACCATTTTAAGCTAAAAAAAAAAAAAATTCCAATCACGGCAAAATCGCTCTAAAATCGTGGCAAAAACGCAATGCACTATGTTCCAGATCTGGTCCAGAAAATGGTGTGAACCCAGCCTTAGGGGGTAATGTCATTATGCAAATGAATCTCTTCCTGCTCCATGTCATAGCTTCTGTTGCAATCCGGTGCAGCGCTTTTATGGCGCGTTTGGGTGCGTTCCAGTGCAGGAAAAATGTGACATGCAGTATATTTTTTTCCTGGACTGGTGTGAACAGAGCCCCAAAATTACATAAAAATGCATTGGGATGCATATCTGGTGTGGAAGAAAAACGTAACGTACCGCATCTGATCCGGACATGGTGTGAATGGGCTCTGAAAGAAGATAGTGGCTGTTATTTTAGAGAACTCATTTTCATTTCCTCTAGGTTGGAGAAGTGAAGTCTTTTACTACTTCGGACAAAAGAGCAGGTCAGAGGTGTGAGGTCAAGCTGTTTGACTACTCGGTTGATTCATTTCCAATGATATGGTAAGCTTGCATCACTACACGCATTTCATTTTCTGATCCGGGGGAACTATTGTAAATCCAATATTGTGAAATTGCAGTAATGAAAGGAAAACAAGCGACTGAATCATGGGATGCGTAAAGTATAGATCATTTCATTTTCTACATTTTGGACAATTTTATAGCATGTAATAAAACCAGTGAATGTTGCAGCACAAAAAAAAAAAAATGATTCTCTTTGTTGAATTTTAGCTGGGATAATGAATCCATTAAGCTGGCACAAAGCTGGACGCCAAGAGAAACAGGTAGTCTTTCTTACTCATTTGAAGTTTTATTCTTAGGATTGAATGCTGCCTTCTTTATGGCCGTGATGATATCTGAACCTATTTCTGTGTTGTTACCCTTTCAGATTTCATTTTGGATTGTGAAGAAATGCAGAAATATTTATAGGCTAGGCATACCTACATATTGGTTGTTAAAGTAGATGTAAACCCTCACTGAGTAAAATCTATTTCTGCTAAAGCGCTGGGCGTCATATACACAGAACTTTTCACTTCTTTTTCATCCTTTATTACATCTGGTCTCCTACAACCTCTTTTCAGTCACTTTTTTGTCTACACACATACACCCCAGTGATAGCTGCTGTGCATGCCATTTCTCAGAGCAGGTTTCATGATGGTGGCAACAGTGGATAAAGCTTGCATCATGTGTCTTTAAATGGCCACTTGTAGTCTCCATTAGAAAACTGTGTGGCAGGGTGACAAGGCAGGAGCCCAGATGGGAGACAGAAGGTTAAATACCATAACGTCACTCACACTCTGAAGATGGCAGTCAATCTCCTTTATTGACTGAACATGATGTCACATACACAAAGCGATGTTTTGGGACCAGGCAGTCCCTTCTTCAGGCAAACAACAGTGTGTTTGCCTGAAGAAGGGACTATCTGGTCCCGATCCCCCCAGTTTTCGTTTGGGCTTTATCCGGTCAGGAGTGCAATGGGATCTACTACATTTGGAGACAGAAGGTTGTCACCCTATAACAGGAAGTACCTAAACAGGGACCTTCATGACAGGATCACCGGCTATTATTTTAACAAAAGCTGCTGGTTCAAAAATATTGGAAATCACTTTTGAAAACATATGAGAATTTAGTGATTGGGTTTGCGCATATTTTGAAAGTCAGATAAGTTCTGAGGTGCCTAGAGTTCCGCTTTAACCTTTTTATTAATAAGACTTTGACTTGACATTGACTTAATTTACACAGTTTTCTGTTATCTCTTTTTTTTTAACTATAGCCTTTACCCTCATCAGCTCATACTGTATGTATATAGAGACTAATCAATATCTTGCCCTAAATGCCATCTCATGAGCTGTAGGGATGGGGAGGGAATCAGGACATTTAGAGAACCCAGTTGATTAAGTCTCAATTTCTGCAATAGGTGTTCCATCATGAGTATAGCACTAGAAATATTTACATTTAAAAATAAAATGACCCACAAAAGAATCCCGGCGTGCTAAGTTTTGTGCCTTGACTTGTAACAATTTCACATTTTTGTTGGGTACATTATTATTTTCCCCCTGACGAAGCCACCGTTTTGGTGAAATGTGTTGGGATTGTAAATAAGAAGGATCAGAGTGTGGCTATTGTGGGTCCATGACCTAAAAGAGAACTAAAGCCAAACCTATTTTTGGCTTTACTTCTCTTTTGGGTCACAGGAGTAGATTTACTTATTTACTTCTGTGACCCAAACTCAACATATAGCGGGCTACTGCCTGCTATATGCTGACAGCGCAGAGCTACACTGGAGCTAGGAAGGATCTCAATAATATTGTTTGGATTCAACCCCACTGCCTGATTGACAGCTGGTCCTGCCTCTCTAGAGCCATACCCAGCTGTACCCACCCCTCCCCTGTCTGTTCCTCTAATGAGTACTGAGGAACAGAGAAAGGAGGAGGGAATCCCTGTGGGGAGCGGTGGCCGACAGTCACCTTTCTCTGCAGGGAGAAGGCTGTTAACTGAGCGATCAGTGGTTTGTGATCTGTCAGCTCTCGATCTATAGAGCTGACATGTGACAGCTGCAGATTCACACATGGGCTCTAAGTATTGAGAAGATTATAAAAGAAATATAATTTTTTTTGGACAGTCTG